CCCTCGCTTTGCCGATCCACGCCCTCACATCTGCATCCGATCCACCTTTCTCGTCGATGATGCTGCCCAGATATGTAAAGTTGTTAACGTCCTCGAAAGCATCTCCATCAAGCGTGATTTGGTTGGTGCATGTTGTGTTGCATCGGGGCAATTTCGCTTTTCCCTTTATGTATGTTGAGACCTACTGCTGCTACACTGGTCGTCTTCTCTTGCATTTGTTGTTGCGTGTGCGATAGAAGAGCCAGGTCATCTGCGAAGTCCAGATCGTCCAGCTGCGTCCTAACTGTCCAGTTGATACCGTGCTTCCCTCCAGATGTTGACGTCTTCATAATCCAGTCGATGACCAGGAGAAAGAGAAAGGGTGAGAGTAAGCAACCTTGCCTCACACCGGTCTTCACCTCAACCGAGTTTGGTCAGCTGACCTCCGTGTACGATTTTGCAGTTGAATCCATCATAAGAATTCCGTATGATGTCAGCCATCTTCTCAGACACACCATAGTGTCGAAGAAGCCTCCACAGTGTTTTCCTGTCCACCCTATCGAATGCTTTCTCGTAGTCGATGAAGTTGATGTAGAGTGGTGAGTGCCATTCAATTGATTGTTCCACAATGATCCGTAATGTAGCAATTTGGTCAGTACACGATCGATCCTTACGAAATCCGGCCTGTTGATCTCGAAGTTGGGCGTCTACGAAGTCCTTCATTCTGTTTAACAATACTCCGTTGAAGACTTTGCCTGGTATTGAAAGAAGAGTGATGCCTCTGTAGTTCTCACACTTGCTGAGGTCGCCTTTCTTTGGTATTTTGATGAGGTATCCTTCCTTCCAGTCTGATGGTACTTGTTCCTCATCCCAAATCTTCTTGAAGAGGATGTGAAATATTTTCGCGGTTGCTTCTACATCTGCTTTCATTGCCTCTGCTGGAATGTTGTCTGGTCCTGCTGCTTTGCCGTTCTTGATTTGTCTGATGGCCATACTGATCTCCTCAATCGTAGGTGCGCCAATATTAATTGGGAGGTCCTTGGATGCTGCTTCGATGTTGGGTGGTTTCAGTGGAGCTGGTCGATTCAATAGTTCCTTAAAGTGCTCTACCCACCTATTTCGCTGTTCGTCAGTGTTGCTGATTATTTTCCCTTCCTTGCTTTTGACTGGTCGTTCTGGTTTACGATAGTTCCCGGCGAGCTTCTTTGTTGTTTCGTACAATTGTCTCATGTTT